CTGCCGATGGTGAACGCTTTACTCAGGTAAATAACCTAAGGAAAAGACGAAATCTTGACATACTCGGAGGTAGTAATATCAACAAATCATCGCTGCCAAACCCTGTTGGCGACCATAAACGTGCTCAAGCTCCAGCCTCTGGCATGACCATACAATCACATTCTTCAAGTCAAGAAGACTCTACCTACTTAGGAAAGAACAATAGATTTGCTATTTTGTCTGACGATGATGGTGATGATACAATAACTTCCACTCATAATAATGAATCAATCAGCACCTCTAAACTTGGTCATGGATTGTCTGAGCCTGTTGAAGCTAACTTGCATTCGGTGTCCCCACGCAATGCCTCTTCTCAAGCTAAAACCAAGAAACGTGATCCCCGTCCGCTACCCTTCCTTTTGAAAGGAATCACTGATTTTAGGCAACTAATTTCCTTACTATCTTCTGTGACCAATGGTTTTCGCCTCAAGACAACTGGTAAATCTTCCTGTAGGGTTACTGTGGATGACGGCAATGTTTACCGTGTAGTCCAGAAGCTTTTCAAGGATAATGGAATTTTTGTCATCACTTTTCAGTTTAAAAATGAACGAGCCTTTCGAGTCGTCATCAAGGGACTTCTCGCTTCCACTGAAATAGCCGAAATTACTGCAAAACTTAAAGCTCTGACACAACCCTCGGAATGTATTCAACCCCCCTGGTGAAAATGGGAAGGCGAACCGGGATATATTCTTTGTGGAGCTGGAACCAGCTAGAAACAACAAAAATGTATATGATATCCAGACAATTGACTACCAGGTGGTCAAAGTGGAACCGCAGATTTAGAGAAAGGGTCCTTTAAGGTGTTTCAGATGTCAAGAATTTGGACATTCTAAAAATTTTTGCTCACTCTTGCCAAAGTGTGCCAGATGCGCTGGTGACCATGAAACAAAAGACAAGGAGCGGTGCTTGGCCATAAATGAGGAACAACTCAAGTGCATTAACTGTGGTTCTAATCATAGTGCGTCTTCCCGTCGATGTCCTGCCTATTAAGAGGCTATTGAAAGACGTAAGCCCACTGGTTCTGTAGAGCATAGACCCACTCAAAACCGTACTATTAAGCCTGCCATGCCCCCGGCTCAAAATGCTTGGTTTTCTACGCGTCTTTCTGCATCCTCAAGTCAGACTACGCCAACGGCTAATTCACATCCAAGTGAAAAGACCTCCTTGGTTGAACAACCTACTCAGGACGGGCTTCTGGAATTTATTAATGGATTAAGGAAGCAACAAGAGGCTGCTGCGATAGCCCAAGCGGCTGCAATTGATAAGTTGTTGTTACGCTTTGATCAAATGATGTCAGTAATGACGACCACACTACAAATGTTACAGAGCGTGATTTCTAAGCACGCCAATCTATCAGGGTCAACGCAATGCGATGACTAATTACGGTATAAATATCACTGGGTTTGGCAGAATTTCATTTGGTGCTGTCTACTGTCCACCTGGTCACCGCCTTTCTTGGACAACTGAGGAATATCTGCGTCTGTTTGGCTCTGTAGGTAGCCGCTTTCTCATTGGAGGGGATTGGAATGCGCACCACAGTTTTTGGGGGTGCAGGCGATCATGCCCTCGGGGAAACACCCTAATGTCAGTTATTCCCGACTCAAATATGCAGATTTTGGCTACTGGCGGACCCACTCATTTTCCTTGGATCAAAGACCACCTCCCGACGGCCATTGATTTTGCTGTGTACAAAGGCATCCCGTGCAACCACCTTACAATCTCAGAGTGCCCGGGACTTTCCTCTGACCATATTCCGCTAAGGAAAGTCCTCCGTTCGGCCAAGTCAGAATTTTTTATAGACAAGCTCAGTGCAATTGATCCTAACCAGAATCACGGATTTGCGCTCTGGAAATGCACCCGCAACCTTAAAAGACAGCCGCTTCAGAGGTTTTCCCTTAAACGTGGTGATGGGACTTGGGCCCACAGTGATTCCGAGATTGCTGAAGTATTTGCTGATGATCTTGAAAATCGCTTTACTCCATTTGAATTTGCAACAAGCGATAAAGTCCAGACAACAATCTCTAGGTTAGGACTTTCATTTGGCCCTCCTGTTACTGTCCGGCCAGTAGACGAAGATGAGGTACGTGGTCATATAAAGCGACTGGTTACTACTAAAGCTCCTGGCATGGACGCGATTGATGGCAAAGTAGCAAAGGCTCTGCCTAGCTCTGTCATTGCACAGCTCTGTCTCCTCTTTTATGCTTTCCTGGACCTTGGTTATTTTCCATCACCATCACGAGCATTAGTTACAATGGTGGCAAAAAAAAGGAAAAGACCCATGTTGCCCGGAATCTTATAGGCCGATTAGTTTGCTGTCCACTTTCTCCAAGATTTTTGAGCGGATCATGCTTGGTAGACTTCTAGCTATTAACGCCTTTGAAGACGCCGAACCACCAGTTTGGTTTCCGTAGTCGCCATAGTGCTATCGAGCAAGTGCACAGAGTAATTAACCATGTCCTGGGGGCTTTCGAAGACCACAAATACTGCTCAGCCGTTTTTCTCGATGTTCGACATGCCTTTGACAGGGTTTGGCACGAAGGACTGTTCTACAAGCTAATGACGCTTTTGCCTGAAAGGCTCTGGAATCTCATTGTATCATTCTTAGATAAAAGGGAGTTTGCTGTAGACATTCGTGGACACCGTTCTGGACTTCGCTGGTGTCCCGCAGGCAAGCGTCCTTGGTCCGGTCCTGTTTACAATTTACACTTCGGATCTTCCAAACCCAGTTGCTCGTGGTACACTCCTGGCCACATATGCAGATGACACTGCATTTCTTGCAGCTGGTAGCACCACTACGTCTGCGTCCCGACGTGTCCAGACATTCTTAGACGAATTTGAGTGCTGGGCCTCTCGATGGAACATTGCGCTTAATGTTGACAAAACGCAACATGCCACTTTTGCTCTCCGCCCTGGCCTTTCGCGTAGCCTTTACATTGATGGGAATAGGCTCAAGCACGAAGATAAGGTGACGTACCTCGGAGTTACCTTAGACCGTCGCCTTTGTTGGAAGGGACAAATTGATCGAGTTTGTGGATCAGCAAGAAAAAAACTTGACAAAATGGTCTGGCGCCTTTGTCCAGGCAGCGGCCTATCCCTTGAAGCTAAGGTGCGGCTTTTTAAGGCCATTGTCCTTCCAACTTTAAACTGGGGAATCACTTGCTGGGGCACGGCCTGTGATTCGTCACTAAAAAGGCTGCAAACATGCATTACAAAGGCTCTCAGGAGGATGCTAGGGGTGAAGTGGCACCATTATGTAGAAAACCGAGTTATGTTTCAGGACACGGGAGTGCCGACGGTAACGGAGACGATTTGCAAATCCTCAAGTCGATACCGGGAACGTTTGCTCACACATGCAAACTGTCTGGCAAGACATCTTGCAACACCACTGGGTCGACGGCGTCTCCGCAGACGACACCCGGCAGACTTATGGATTCTCGGCCGTGACAGACACGGTCGTCTTCTGTAATAACACATCTTGATTAACTTTTGACCGGTTATGACCACACCTGATTTGCTCAAGAATGGAGCACCCGTTACCGGCTTTTTTTGGGATCTTTAGAAATAATTCGTCAATACACGAAAACAAGGACCATCCTTGTGTGGCGTGTTCAACAAACTATAAAAAAAAATATATTAAAGGATTTGTGAAACTGTTTTTACTTTTTTTAAAGACAATTAATAGAAGTTCTGAAAAAAATTTGATTTGTTGAGATAAGAGAAGATATGAATTTAAAAAAGGACGTTAAAAAAGAAAAAAAAACATATTATTTTGTCCATTAGTGTATACGAGTAATGTCGGAAAGTTCACCAGAGTGAAAACTCTCAAAATGTTATTTTAGAACTTTAGGCTCCAAATGTTATCCCTAGACCCCCAATGAAATATCAAATATAATCAACGAGACCCTTTCAACGTATTTATATTGATCTGCTAAGACCATATCCTTTAAACCGACGTAAACATATTGGACTGTTAACCGTGCTTAAACACTATGCGAAATTTCATTGCCTCTTTCCCCTGAAAAAAATTCACTATTTTTAAATAGACTATTTTTCTTGAACATGGTGTTCCAGAAACTATTATAAGCGATAACTGTGTCCAATTCAAATCAAATGAATCCTAGATATTAGTGAACGTAAATTAAGAAAATATATCAAGGGTATAGGTGTTGTATCATGTTGCTGTAACATCTTTGCAACACTACGGAGTTCGCTTAAATAAGTCACAGTACTTTTTACTATTTCTTTTAATATTAAATATTATTTTATTAAAAATCAACGCAACCCAAGATAAAGTTTTCCAGTTCTAACAGTTTCATTCGAGGTATAATTTTTGGACACCTTTCCAAAATTAGGCCACTCTTCAAACAATAAGATTTGTTATTTTTAAAAATATTTTTTTAGAACAAAATCCTATTTTTTTGCCACTGGACAATTTTTCCCTTGCTAATTCTAGCACTTCATCAATGATTTTTTCTAACAATCCAAAGCACCACTCTCATCTCGCAGGCCTAAGAGCATCCCTAAAGTGAAACACGGCTCATTGATTTTCGAAAGCCCAGCTGTGTAATTCAAAAAGTCTTTTCAATTAAACAAAGTCGTAAATTTAAAAATTATAAATGTTTTAACAATTTATTAGGTTAGTACATAGTTTTAAACCCTAACAAAATTGTTTAGTGCTGTTAATACATTTTAATTATAAAGTGCAAAGTGACCATTCGTAATGGCCGCCTTTGCAAAGATATTGCTCGTTACAGTCAAAACAAAAAAAAACAAATAAATGGTTAAAAACAAATTTTAAGAAATTTGTTTTAAATTTAGGTTTATATAGGCAACGTTTTTTATTGATGATTACAGCTTATTTTTGATTTGAATCATCAGGATTCGTCGAGATATATTTTTCTGCAAAATAAAATATAATTAATGTAGTTCAGATTTTTTGGGTTCGAATTAATCTTTATTACCTAAATGTTGAATTGGTTCCTGTTTTTTTTTAGCCAGCGGTGATGTGGTTAGAGTTGTATCATTACTTCTTGATATCTTATTTTCGATATCTTTTGGTAATGTACTCTTGGTAGCACAATATTTTTCTATTTATTAAAAATTTATGATTTAAAATTATGATTCCTTCCTCCTTTACGATTAAACATACCATTTTTTTTGTTGAAAAGCATCTTCCTTAGGTTTTGAAGTTAAATCTGGCAGCGTCGGATGAGAAATATTCGAAAAAGCATCTTCACAATCTACAGATTCTTTTATTCTGGGTGTGGACAAATCTTGTACCGATTTATCAGAGACAAACTCTATATTATGAATACATTTTTCTACTACGTCTGCACGCCCAATTTTGTAAAGGGCTATAGCTAAAACATTTCCTGTGGAAATACCCCCATTTTCTAGCCATAACTGCAACATTACCATGCTCTGCTGTACGCTATCGCCACTAAAGTACTCTGCTTTGACAAGCTCGATATCGGTCTCGGGAACACCCAATTCAATCGCTAGCTGAGGCCAGTCACTACCAATATGGTTAGATATATCGAACAACGTTATATCAGCACTTTGTAACAATTCAACATTGCTTGACTTTTTATCATCCTCTATTATATCAGTTTTTTCGACATTTTTTTCTGAAGTCGATGCATCTTCTGTGTTAGCTTTGATTTTTGAATAATTCATATAATTTTCATTCATTTCAGTACCCACATTAAAACCATGATTTGAATTAGACGTCCTAACGCTTTCAAGATGCTTTGCCGTAATTTTCATATATACTGATACATTTAAAGAACAAAGCGGATTTAGTGGTGCTTCATCCGGGCCTACCTTTGGATCCGTCATAAAACAAATGCGACCTTGTGGAAATTCTGGATCTTTAATATGAGCAATAAAAGAAAGTCGATTTTCGCAAAATGCTTGAAATTTGATATTTAGCTGCTCGCCTGTCTTCAAAACTGGGACAAGGTTGCCAGCGAACTCTAAGTAAATAGTTTGATCCTGCAATACTTCAATATCCCTGCTTTTTGCAACCTCTATAAAATATTCTTGCTGTTCAAGCGTCTTGTCCTCTTTATCGTCAGTCATGCAAAACACTGAAAACTTAGCTTCTGTTTGGGAGATGCGTTTTGCAAATACAACAAACTTAACAAGAAAAGGAACTTTGGCCAAATAACAGTAAAGCTCTGTGGCCATTCGTCCTGCGTCTACAATATTGCGACAATCCATTAACCAAAAACGGGCAGAAACAGTAGTGGTAAATGTTATACTATCTTTTACAAATGACAGCGGAGTTGATCCAGTAACATCTTCCCAAGTTGCGCGCGTCTGTCCACCAGTAATAGAACACAATAGTCTAAGAGTTGGTGAATTTAAATTTCCGTTGCCATAACATGCATTAACCATACTCTTGGTACAAGCTTTTGGAGCAGGGATACTAAGTGTAATTGCTTTATGAAATTTTCGTCGACGCGGCTCTACAGTAACTATTGGAGAAACAGCAACGCCTTGGCCGAGTAGCTTAGAACATCCAACCAGGTCTACTGGTTGTGCCTGAAGACCGACTCGAATTTTCTTAGTCAAGGCGTGGGGTGGAAAAATAGCTTGAACCTGCGGTACTGCCGTCGAGAAAACTGTACCACCATCTGGTCCGATAGCATGCACCTCCTGACGTACACGCGAAACTACGGCAAAAAAGTGTGGAACATTTTGCGTGGTGATGCGAACAATACGGTCCGTATGCAACGCTTCCATCCGATTGAAATCGTTTTCGATTGTGGGTTTACTGGTACCCTGCATAAGTTCTTCACTCTCATATAAGTTGTGCTCGCGCCAACTTTCTCCATTGTCGGACCGCAGGATAATAATTTCGCGCTCGTTCTCTCTAAGCATTCCAAAGTGAGGAACTTCTAACGTTATTGGGCTTAAATAAAAGGGATTTAATAATGTTATACTACATTTTAACGCGTCAATGCTTACCTTAAAAACATTCCCTCAACAGGTGAAAGTTCTAAAATACGACTCACAAGTGCCTCGCCTTCCATTAAAGGAGGAGGATTGGCTACCCTTTGGGGTTTAACATAACGGCATGTTATACGTGTGGGTTCAGCGCACGCCTTTGGAGGTACTATTATGCGCACACCGCTGTGACGATATCCGCGCATAGATCCTCCACGTGCGTCAACCAAGAAAGATACGAGAAATCTAAATAATTTAAATTCAATTATATTTTTGTAGTTTGAATAACAGTTATCTGATGCTTACCCTAAGTGAACCTGATGTCGGACAATAGGAACATTGTCGGGTTTTCGTTCCATTTCAGATCCATTAATACATTTTAATTCTTTTTGTTGTATTTCTTGTAATTGGAATTTAATAATTCAATAATGATTTAAAATTTGATACAAATATTTAAAATTAAGGGTTTATATAAAGTGTTGGTATTAACATACAAACAACAAACTCATCGTTTTTGGTTGAAAAAATGCTTTTACCAACAAATTCCAAATCTGTAAATTTTGTATATTTTCAGACTGCTAAGGCTAAGCATGCTAAAGCTGACAGACGGAGGGACGAACTTACGGACATGGCTAGAGCGACTCTCATTCATTGCGCTCAATCATTTGATTGAATTAATTATAATACCCTTTGCAAGCAACCTTTACCATTAATTATACCCAAGTTTGGAAACAAAAAGAATATGGTGGATTGGGTAGCAGTTCGTAGCCCAATTCGACCAATTTGGCCTGGCGAGGGCGGAAGTGTGAGCCGGTGCGTTGTCATAATGTAAGACCACTTTTTTCTTCGCCAAATGGGGCCGTATTTTCTGCAATTCGGCGGTGAATCGGCCCAATAATTCGGCGTAGTACAGCCCTGTGACCGTTTTGCCCTTCTCCAGATTGTCGATGTAGATCACACCTTGTGAATCCCAAAAAACGGTGGCCATCACCTTTCCGGCCGATGGGACAGTCTTCGCCTTCTTCGGAGCAGGTGAAGTCCACTGTTTCGACAGTTCCTTGGTCTCTGGTGTGTAACAGTGGATCCATGTTTCGCGGTCTTTTGACATGCCTACTGTCTTAGCTATCTCGCGTATCTTCAATCGGCGGTCTGCCAATACGAGATCGTGGATTTTTGTCACGTTATCCTCCATGGTAGCCCTTTTCGGGGCACCTGGGCGTGAAACTCGTTAAACCAATTTTTGACGGTCGCCATCGAAGGAGAAGAGTCATCGTACACAGCATCCAAGCGCTCTCTGATTTCGCTGCGCGAAATCACAGACCGATATTGCTCTTTCTCCATTTTTCTAAAATCCGCGGACACGTCCGATTCCACACGCAGTCAAAACAAAACTACGAGTCCGATTCGGCTGAAATTTCGACAGTAGCCGTCTACGAGAATGTACTACACGATAGTGACGCCATCGGGCGGTGAGGCTAAGTACTTATCGGACTGCCCTCGTTTAATTTTGGTCAGAAGTTTGCAACGCAATGAAGAAGAAGACGTTTCCGACCCCATAAAGTATATATATTCTTGCTCAGGATCAATAGGGGAGTCGATATAGCCATGTCCGACTGTCCGTCTGTTTCAATACCGTTTGCGAGCTCAGTTTAAAAGCTAGCGATCTGAAACTTTCACAGTCGTCCTGTACGCAGATCAAGCTTGAAAAGCTGCCCGATCGGACGTCTATATCCTATAGCTCCCATAGGAACAATCGGGCAAGAATTGATGAAAGCTATTGACATGAATCTTTCAAAATCGATTTTTTTTATGCATACCACGATCAGGGTAAAAGCGCGTGCCGATCGGACGCCTATATCCTATAGCTCCCATAGGAACAATAGGGTGAAATCGGTGTGTAAGCTATTGAAGCTATTTACGAATATCTTGATCAGGGTAAAAGCGCTTGCCGATCGGACGTCTATATCTTATAGCTTCCGTAGGAAACATTTTTAAAGGCTGGGAAAATATCCCTTTTTTTTATATTTTTATATGACATTTTTGCAGTATTAAAGCTATTGACATGAAACTATGCAAATTTAGTTTATTTATGTATACCGTATTCCTTTCGCTACTTTTTCAACTTTAGCATTTTGGCAAAGTCTGCAAGAGTATTAAAACTTCGGCTTGCCGAAGTTAGCTTACGTCCTCGTTTTTATGATATAATCGTCCGACGAGTATTGAACTTAACTATTATAATAACTTAATTTAACTAACTAGACTGTTGAGATAAACAGGAATTCTTATTATTGTGTTTTTAAAGAACTGGTAGTAAAATGAGCTCCAAAAGGTCTATCTGATATGAAAATACAGAAAAAATAAATAGATTCTAGTTTTAGTTACCTTTCTCAATGATTAGAGGAGCCGATACTTCCGTGTGATCATGATCCGGATTTGTGGTATCGAATTTTTGGTGATCTTGACTATAATTGGCTTTTAAATCATCAGTTGCCATATATTTGTAACTATTTTGGTCCAAAAGATCATCACCCGTTTCGTCTTCGGAGTCGGAAAGTAAGGTTTCGTGCATAACCTCTGGAGACACTACATTTAATTTTTCTTCAATCACACCAGTATTGGTATTAACAACGGACGTTGAAGTAACAATTTTAAGTGTTTCCGTTACCGTTATATAGCCCAGGCTACTAGCAATATTTAGCGCAGTTTTACCGTTCTGGAAAATGTAAAAAACTGTTAAATCTAGTATATATGGGTAAATGTTAAAAGATAACTAGTATATCATCTTTTAATTCCCTTGCAGAGGGAATTATATTTTCGGTCTGTCCGCACGTCCGTCTGTCGACCCGTCCGCCCGTACGTCGGTCCATCCGTTTCTACGCAAACTAGTCCTTCAATTTTAAAGCTATCTGCTCGAAACTTTCCCAAAAGTTGTCTTTCTATTGCAGGTAGTATATAAGTCGGAACGAGCCGGATGGGGCGACTATATCATATAGCTCCCATAATAACAATCGGAAAAAAATTATAACTTTGTTGTTTTAAATTTTTTTTTGTTGATCTTTGGTAAAATTTAAATATTATGGAATTACGGTTTTTATTAAATTAAAATCGGACAACAATATCATATAGCTGCCATTTCTATGGCCAAATGCAGAGCAAAATCGATTCATTGTTTTTAGTGATATAGGCATATACATCGAAATGTAGTCGTTTTGTAATAACTGCAAGGGTATATACTTACATTTGTTAAAGCGTTCGGATTCGCTTTGTGCCGTAATAACAGATTAATAATCATTATATGGCCTTGTTGAGCAGCCTGATGAAGGGGTGTATAGCCAATATTGGTCGACATTTCAATGTCAGCATCGTTTTCAAGTAAAAATTTTACAAGTTCGAGGTGGCCATTATGAGCAGCGATATGTAGAGGAGAATAACCATTTTTAGTGCGATCTGAAATGCTAGCACCATGTTCCAACAATATCCGGGATACACGAACATGACCTTCCTGTGCAGCCGAATGTAATGGTGTCAGACCGTTTTTAGCACTGTTACTCGTAGCCCCATATTCTAGGAGTAGTTGTACCATATCTACGTGTCCCTCTTGGGCCGCCAAATGCAACGGAGAAAAGCCGCTCTTGCTTATAGCCCCAACATCAGCACCGTGTTGAAGCAACTGTTGCGCAATTTCCAAGTTATTCTTCTTGGCAGCTATATGAATGGCACTTTGTCCATTCCGCGCAAATAAATTTGGCGAAGCACCGTTTTCTAAAATAACTTCTACCACTGGCTGATGATCGTAATGTGTAGCTACGTGTAATGAAGTAACATCATTTTTTGCCTGAAAATCAACAGAAGCTCCTTTTTTTAATAACAATGCTACTATTTTCTGTTTGCCGTATTTGCTAGCCAAATGCAAAGGGGTAAATCCCTTTTTGGTTACAGCATCTAATTTCGCACCGTTTTCCAATAACATTTGGACTACATCATATTGTCCTTCCTTTGCAGCAATGTGAAGCGCCGTATAATTATCTTTAGTCATAGCATTAATCTCAGCTCCATGCTGTAATATTAACATGATTATGTTAATATTTCCTAATCGAGAAGCAACATGAAGAGGAGTTTGGCCTTCACGAGCGATAGCATCCACTTTTGCGCTGCGAAGTAAAATTCGAATAACATCCGTCTAAAAAATAATCAACCATCATAATTAAAAAGTTGTGTAAAAGGAATATTGTATACTTTTAGAACCTACCTGATTAGCACGAGCGGCCAAATGAAGTGGTGTTTCCCCGCGTACTGTTGGTATGTCTGGGCTGGCCTCATGTTGTAGTAAATATAATACAATACTCATACATCCTATAAAATTTGAATTTTGTTTTAATTATTTGTCACTGAGCCTATCGCATCTCAAGTTAAAAGTTATTCCGAATTCAAGAATGGTAACCTCAACTTTATCGCTTTAATTATTTTTATAATTTAGTTCAATTTTATATTCAATTTTGTTAAACAGAAGAAAAATGTAAACAAAAACAGCAACCACCTAATTTTTAACCGATAGCTAAATGGGCAATGTGCACTATAATACTTAGGGCCGACCAAAAATGGTGGAAAACAAAAACATGGCCGAAGCGTTTGATTTGATCAATCTTTGCCTCCTCTGTTAGACCCTGGGACACAAGGTGCAAGACTGTACAAACCTGCCTTGATTATACTGCTGGATCTGCGGACAAGAGAATATCCGTACAGGAGACTGTTGCCGAATGAGGGAAACGAAGGGGCCCATTGAAAAAGTTGGCAAATCCAGTGGTCCGAAGCTTTAGCCTTGGCAAACAAACTCTCCACACATGGTAAAAAGAATCGTGCGGATAAAACGATATAGGGGACAACATTGGAGCTTGAAACAAAACTAGTAGAACAAGGTGCCAAAAACCACAATACTTATCCTGGATGATGTCTTTTTACTGGATATAGGCCATCTAACGTCACAGACATACAAGGACATGAAAAAAATGCAAAAGTCGGAGCCGCTATACCGGAGGCGTCCCACTTAGCATACTTTTTAAGACAAATAAGATGTATACCCTTAAAGATAAACAAAAATGAATATATTATTAAACGACAATATATGAATTCTTACACGCATATTATGCTTTAACAATGATGTTTTGTTGATTTTCCGATACATTTTTCGATAAATGCTAACACAAACCTTTATCGAAAAATTTCATGAGCGGGTGGAACCGAGTGCAGTACGAAAAAAAACGGCAGAGGTGTCACTGAAAGCTTTTAGAAATACAATTCTGGTACGATCCAGAGCGCTGAAAGTGCTGATATCAGATAGTAGGGTAGAGTTTAAAACCCAAATGATCGACTCTCACGATGCCTAACCGGAAAGAAGAATGAGCTGACACGACAAAATATATTAAAGGCACACAATTTAACCTACAGAATAAGGAGGAAAAGGAAGAAAGGAGATGTGACAAATTTAGAGCAAAACTCGCACCTAAATTCGACGGACCATTACGTTACGTTATAGGGTTCAAAGTGGTAACCCGTACTTCAAGTCTCCGAAGCCCAAATCCGGTTCTGAGAGGAGGCAACACATCAAAACGCGGCAGAGGTGACTGCTACGAAGGTCAACGCGTAGTCGTTGAGCATAACCATCCCTTCGGTACCACTGCAGGTTCCAGCACGTCGTAAACACACAGTCCACAATAAAAGACCCGCAGTCGGACATGGAGGCTGGGTAATATATACCCACCAGAAATGCTAAACACACGTCGCGAAACCACCTTAGCAAGGGAATAGGGCAGATAAAGCAAGTGACAGGTGCGCTCCAAAGTCGTTGAAATTAGCAAACAGCAGCGCCCGACAGACACTAACCACTGGAAACCACAACACCTTTCAGACTGGACATGTAGGTGAAATTTTGGAGTTCTTCCTGATCCTCCACACCGAAGTGTCATGCGTTGGCCGCCGACCTCGGGAAGGGAAATCGAAGAAAGGACGTCGGCGAGATACCATTCAAGAGCAAGCTCGATATAAGCAGCAAGACAAACGGGCATCCAACATCCCAGAAAAAGAAAGGGGAGTTCGTCGTCTTGTAAATATTGATATTATTATTTGTTCAATTTACTAGATGGAGTGAAAAGTAACCTCCTTAAGAATAAAAAAATTTTTTTTCTCAAATGTTTTTTTTATTTTATTCAATGTAGTCCCCTTTTAGCTCGATACACTTATTTCAGCGATTTTCCAACTTCTTGATCCCATCCGAAAAGTAATTTTTCGGAAGGTCTGCAAAATACTCCTCCTCGCGTGAGCTGAATTTTTTATTAATGAGATATCTTTTCAGGTTCGGGAAGAGATAATAGTCCGAGGGAGCCAAATCGGGAGAATAAGGTAATGCGGAAGCAATTGGAGCCATAAGTCTTTTATTTTAGCCGTGGTTGCTACGCTCTTGTGGCCGGTGCATCGTCTTGCAAAAACAACATTTTTTTTCGCTTCATGTAAAGTCGTTTTGCAGCGACTTCGGCTCCAAAAATGCACAGTAATACTCGCTGTTGATGGTTTTTCCTTTTTCGAGGTAGTCCACGAGGAGTATGCCATGACAATCCCAAAAAACTGACGCCATAACCTTTCCGACTCATCGAGCCTCCCTCGCCCGCTTCGGAGCACTCGTGCCGGCTTTGGTCCATTGCCGGGCACTCATTCTGTTCTCTGGTGTGTAATAGTGGATTCATCAACAGTTACCAATCGACGCCAAAAGTCCGCCGGATTCCGCATCAGTAAGTCCAAACACTCTTTCGAACTGCTCTCGTGGCACACAGCGGCCGGATAATTTTTTCATATGCAGAATTTCGCTCAAAATATGGCGACTCTGGACTCGCGTACTTTCACTTTGCGATCAGCCAACCAATATTTCACGGTGTAATCTGACGGAGCATTTGCCCCATAATATTTGTCCAATTTTTCTTTTGTTTCCTTCGCCGTTTTGCCTCTCAAAAAATAATGTTTTATGAGAGAACGAAAATCGTTTTTGTCCATATTCAACATGATGTCAAACACGTCAACAACAATCAGCTGCCAAAACGAAACTAAGAGCAGTATCGCACTGAAATTTGGTATTCTTGCCTAAATATGAACGCACCGTAAGGAACCATAACCTTCTTTGCAGTAGTAGCTCATTCTGACGGTCAAGGAGGTTACTTTTCACCCCACCTAGTATAATTATTATTTTTAAGCTGTTGAATTATTAGTAGTATTTGTGGAGATTATTTTCCATTGTTATGGACTGAAATATTATTATACCCTTGCAGTAATACCTTCTTCCTTTCAGTCAAAAGTTTGCAACACAGTGAAGGAAACATTTCCGACCCTATAAAGTTTATATATTCTTGATCAGCATCACCAGGAGAGTCGATCTAGCCATGTCCGTCTGTCCGTCCGTCCGTCCGTTTCCATGCAAACTAGTCCCTCAGTTTTAAAGCTATCTGCTTGAAACTTTCCCAAAAGTTGACTTTCTATTGCAGGTAGTATATATGTCGAAACGAGCCGGATCGGGCGACTATATCATATAGATCCCATAGGAACAATCAGAAAAAAAATTCCATAAAATTATAATTTTGTTTTTAATTATTTTTTTGTTTTTTGGGATTTGGTATTCTTTCAATATTATTGAATTACGGTTTTAATTAAATTAAAATCAGACAACAATATCATATAGCTGCCATATAAAAGCAGCCAAAAATCGACATAGCTTCATTGTTTTTAGTAATATAGACATATAAATCAAAATGTGGTCGATTTGTAATAACTACAAGGGTATATAAACTTTCGAAGTTTTCTTCCTTTCCTGTTATTTGTAAAATTAGCTTTGGATTTGCCAGGAATATGGCAAGAAAATTTCAACCCTACGACCAAATGCAAGCCTCACTATCAACGAAGGCCCTACGACCATATATGCCCTACGACCATATATCTCTGGCTATCGTCTACATAAACCACTGGCTGGGCGTGGGATAGGCCACTTGTTCTCGAGCAGACCACCAAACGGAGAAGTGGAAAGTGTTTCCAAGTAGCTTAGAACTAACCGGTGAAGGAAGACGTCATAGCTCGGTTTTCGAATTTTCCAATTTCAAACGATTCTCAAATTATACAAGAAATATCTATTTATAAGTTGATTTAAGAATCGCTTTACTTCATCTCTACTTTGAGGAACTGGTCGAAAAATTTATCGGCCACAGACTGCTGGCGGCAATTAAAGAAAATACTTGGAAGTTCAAAAGATAAAAAGAATTTGAAATCTTCCCTAAAACGAGCATTCGATGTTCTAGCTTGGACAGCATCTCATTTTTAGTAGGGTATAAAATAATCAGGGAAATCGACAACTATTTTTTTTTAGTTTTCTTTGCAAATGCAACAGGTTATAATATAAATCTTGTTTTTACTTATTTTTAAATTTGCATGTACTTACCCATAAAACTGGCAACATGTAAAGGCGTCAAACCAGATTCTGTGGTCGCACCAATGTTAGCTCCATGTTTAATAAGTAATTCAACTATCTTAATACGATTTTTCTTACAGGCAATATGCAGAGGAGTAAACCCGTTAAGTGCGCGAGCATTTGGATTTGCATTGTAATCAAGCAAAAGTTTTGCTACTTTCACATGGCCACAATGAGCAGCCACATGAAGAGCTGTCAAGTAATCGACGGTAACTTCGTCTACTGGAGCTTTGTTTTCCAATAGAATACGCGCAGCTTCATCGTGTTCTCCCTGTGCAGACATATGAAGCGCAGACAGGCCATTCTTTGTCTTTGTCAGTATGGGAGCGTTTTGACGCAACAAGTACTCAATCACCTCAACATGGCCCGAGCGAGACGCACAGTGAAGTGGTGTCAGACCATCCCGAGTAGCTGCATCTATTCTTGCTCCTCGAGATAGTAACAAACAACAAACAGATGACTTTCCCCATTTACATGCCACGTGTAATGGAGAGATGTTATGTTTAGCCACAAAGTTAACATCAGCCTCGCTATCTAACAGCAAAGTGGCTATGTCCACGTTTCCATAATGAGCTGCTATATGCAAAGGGGTGAAACCAGATTTTGACACAATGTCGGCATTGTGATCGTGTTGAAGTAATAGCTTGGCTGCATTAACATCATTTTTCTTAGCTGCAATATGAAGTGCTGGAAGGCGAACCTTTCCGCGAACATCGTTCTCAAGCAAGACAGACACTATTTTGTCGTGTCCTTGCTGCATTGCTACCGCAAGTGGGGTAAAGCCATCTTCTGTAGATAATGACGGGTTCGCACCATTTGCCAGTAAGATCCGACAACAATTATCGTGATTTTCTTGTGCTGCCATATAAAGAGGCGTGAAACCATTAAGAGACTGCACATTTACATTGGCATTAGATAAAATAAGCTGATTAATAACATCTAGCTGTCCTGCCAAGGATGCGATGTGCAAGGCAGTGTTTCCTTTTTTGGTGGCATTATCCACATTGATGCCTCTCCTCAGCAACTCCGAGCAAATATCCACAAATCCGTCTTTTGCGGCTAGGTGAAGTGCATTCAGACCGTTCTAAAAGTATAAAAAGAGGCAGAGGTCACAAAAAGTTTTTATATGGTTTCATTCACCCGTATAACTCATTTAATTCAGAACAAGCAAGCAAGCCGAAGTTTATATACCCTTGCAGTTGTTACAAATCTACTACATTTCGATTTCTATGCCTATATTACTAAAAACTTATGTTTTTATTTTATTTCCGCTGCATTTTGCCATCGTTTCTTTGGCAACTATATGAAATTTTTGGCCGATTTTAATTTAATTAAAACCGTAATTCCTTATTATTCCAAATCCCAAAGAACAACAAAAAAAAATTAAAAACATCAAAGTTATAATTTTTATACCCGTTACCCGTAGAGTAAAAGGGTATATTGTATTCGTGCAAAAGTATGTAGAAGGAAGCGTTTCCGATCCTATAAAGTATATATATTCTTGTTCAGGATCACTAGCCGAGTCGATCTAGCCATGTCCGTCTGTCCGTCTGTCTGTCCGTCTGTCTGTCTGTCTGTCTGTCCGTATGAACGCTGAGATCTCGGAAACTATAAAAGCTACAAGATTGGCATTTTGCATGTAGATTTTAGGAGTTCCTACGCAGCGCAAGTTTGTTTCAAAATTGTGCCACGCCCCCTCTGACGCCCACAAGCCACAAGCTGTGGCCACAGTTTTGATGCTATTATGAAAATTTAATTGATATGTATTTGTTTCGTCAATACCTATCGATTGGCCTAATAAAAGTTTGCCACGCCCACTTTAACGCCCAAAAACCCATTAAACGCTTAAGCCTGTCTAGCGCCTACATTTCTAAATGGGGTAGATGGCGCAATACAATAGCGCCATCTAACGGATGACTTTGGAACAGCTGGCCAAGGTGCTCAACAGAGTCAACGTTAATTCTCGATAAGGATTTCTATTAAAGGAAATTGCGATGGTTTTCATTTGTCAATACCGAACTATATCCCAAGAACTATGCAAATCAAATCAAGTTAGCCAAATTGGAGGTCTGAGTCAAACAATGGTGTGTATGTATGTAAGCATATACATATGTATGTATGTATTTACATTGTACACAGTTGCAATTGCCCGGCAATTATAATATTAAGTTGTTTAGCTGAGTAACGGGTATCTAATAGTCGAGGCACTCGACTATAGCGTTCTCTCTTGTTTTGAATATTTTTTTCCGATTGTTCCTATGGGAGCTATTTCATATAGTCGGCCGATCCCGGCCGTTCCGACTTATATACTGCGTGCAAAGGGACGAAGGGTGTGTGCAAAGTTTTATACGATATCTTTAAAACTGGGAGACTAGTTCGCGTAGAAACAGACAGACGGACATGCTTATTATACCCTTGCAGAGGGTATTATAATTTTGGTCAAAAGTGTGCAACGCAGTGAAGGAGACATCTCCGACCTTATATAATATATAACAAGAAAGGAAAGCTAAAGCAGCTAAGCTGCAAGGGTATAAAAACAACAAAGTTATAATTTTTAGCGCATTTTTTTGCTGATTGTTCCTATGGGAGCTATATAATATAGTCGCCCGATCTGGCTCGTACCGACTTATATACTACCTTATATACTACCTGCTTTAAAACTGAGGGACTAGTTTGCGTAGAAACGGACAGACGGACATGGGTAGATCGACTCTCCTGGTGATGCTGATCAAGAATATATTAACCGACGGCCAATGATTTTGCAGTGTACAGAGGCATTCCGTGCAACCACCTTACTTTCTAATTCTAATTTCTTTTTTTTGAAACTGCGTTGGAAGGAAGTCCCCTCCCTCTTTTGCTGCTGTTGAGATGGAATCAAAGGAAGTTTCAAGCCCCGAATTGGCCAAGCAGGTATAGAGTGCGAAAAATTGAAGCTAATATGTGGCGTTTTCTAATTGTGTTTGGCCCATCTTTCAACTTTTTGCATTCGTGTAAAATTCGGTAGATAGTGACCATTCTAACCAAGAAAATAAAAATTTGCATGTACATACTAACAATTTTAATTCTGGCAAATATACATACATAAATATTTTAAACTATAAAAAAGTGAATCGCTTTGGACATTAAAACACAAATTAAAAAAATCGAATTAGTACATTTTAGTCGTAGTAAGCACCAATTTAGGGTATTGCTAAAAAGTTGGAAAAAAGAGCAATTTTTTAAAAATTGAGAAAATCGCAGCAAAAAACCCGCGCTTTTCATCAGGCTTATATATTCGTTGCCCTTAGCTATCGGTCAGTTGGTTGCTTTAACGCATGTTCGTTGGATTTCGGTACGCGTTGGCGTGTGCTCCCATACAGTGCGTGCGATTGGCATAGTACTGTCGTGGTTTTTCATACAAACTTCTAAAAATTCTAATTAAGATTTTTTTTTTGAACTTCTCTCGGCACTTAGCTCCCCTACACTGCGTGCGTTCGGCATATTTCTCGTTAGTCGTTTTATATATTACAACAAATACACAGTATAAATAAAAAATAAAATGTATATATATTTAAAACCTCTTCGATTCCAAAAATAAATAAATAAAAAACAAGAAAGGAAAGCTAACTTCGGGCGGAGCCGAAGTTGATATACCCTTGCAGAATACTCTGTAAATTATATTCTCCAAAATTATTCATATGATGCATTCTTTATACTCATAAAAAATCCCAACTTCCTAACTTTAAAAACACCAAAGTTATGGCATTTCCAATCGTTCAGTTATATGGCAGCTATAGGATATAGTCGGCCGATCCTTATGAAATTTAATAGGTCGGATTGATTGGCTAAAAATAAAACCCATAAAAAATCCCAACATCCTAACTTTACAAACACCAAAGTTATAGCATTTCCGATCAATCAGTTATATGGCAGCTATAGGATATAGTCGGCCGTTCTGACATATATACTGCGTGCAAAGGAAAGAAGGGTGTGTGCAAAGTTTGAACTCGATAGCTTTAAAACTGAGAGACTAGTTTGCGTAGAAACAGACAGACGGACAGACGGACATGGCTATATCAACTCAGGAGGTGATCCTGATCAAGAATATATATTTATAGGGTCGGAGATGTCTCCTTCACTGCGTTGCACACTTTTGACCAAAATTATAAGGGTATAATAAAGGCAATGGCAACTAAGGATATCGAAGAGCTTAAACACAAACGAGATATTTGCATGAAAAGTATAAACCGAACGTATCGCAACTTAAATGACGGTAAAATTTCTTTTAATCCGTTTGAGCTAGAATGTCGATTAGAAATCCTAAATTCGCACATTGAAAATGCTTCACTTCTTCAAAACCAAATAGAAGTGAGAGATCCAAAAGATGTCTTTCGCGAAGAGTTGGAAGAGTGTGCAGTTTTAACAAAATCATTACTGATTTCAATGTTAAATAACGCTAAACGAAATACTGTAGAAAAATCCGCTCCGCAGGCAAGTCGCCCGCCTCAATGCCGCCTGCCGAACTTCGCTCTTCCAACATTTAGCGGAAAACACTCCGAATTTAAAAATTTTATAAGCCTTTTTGAAACTTTAGTTCACAAAGATGATACGCTACACGATATTGAGAAATGTAATCATTTAATTTCGTGTTTAGCTGGAGACGCTTTAGGAACAGTTAGGGCATTTCAAATCACTGCGGAAAATTATCCCAAAGCCCTTGCTAGCCTGAAGCGGGTGTACGATAATGATTGCCGTTTTTTTTTTTGACAACATATCGACACTTTTTAATTTGCAAAAAATTACTCAGCCCTCAGCTACAGCCTTGAGAACCCTCATCGACACAGTCAAAGCCCCTTATGATATACGCATTACTAATGCTATTTTAATACATTTGGTAATGAGCAAGGTCGATGCAGGAACTAAAAGAAAATGGGAAGAACAATTAGACTATACTTCGCTTCCACTTTGGAGCGAATGTGAGACGACATTGAACAGGCGTTACCAACATATGGTAGCGGAAGAGGCCTCAAAACCCAAAACTGTTCAGCAAGTCCAATCTAATCCTTAGAAGAATGGAAATAGGAGTTTTTCGTTTGTCGCTGCCAGTAACGACACGGTAAAATGCGTGTATTGCAACTCAGCTGAACATTAAATTGGAAACTGCGCTTCCTTCGCAGATCTAACAGTTCAGCAAAGATTCGATTTCGCTAAAAGAGCACCCTTGTGCATTAACTGCCTTCGAAAGGGACATACCGTCAAAAAATGCAAATCGAACAGATGCAGAGTGTGTAATTCCTCACACCATACGTTGCTGCACATATATTCCGCGAACACTAATCTCGCGTTGCCACCCCCTTCTCAGCCCACGCTCCATCCGCTTCGCATGTTTTGCATGCGACTGCATCGGATAGAGTCATTCTTGCAACTGCTATTTTGAGCGTTCAAACGAAAAGTGGCGAATTTGTCTTGGCTCGAGCGTTGCTCGACTCAGGATCACAAATAAACTTTGTGACCGATGAGCTCGCTCAGAGACTTATAATTTCAAGAGAGGAGGTTTACTTGAGTTAACGAGGCATTGGATGGGACTAATGCCCAAGCTACAAAAAAAATACACACGGTTGTGAAGTCGCGAGTAGGGAATAGCCAGTTGTCGTCCTATTTTTGGATCCAAAAAAATATTTTTGGTTATCATCCGGATCAAGCGGTGAGCACCAGAAGGTTGAGAGTGCCTGAATATATTCACTTGGCAGATAAATTTTTCTTCGAGCCCCAAAAAATAGATATGCTTATCGGTGCAGATACGTTCTTTGAACTTTTATCTATTGGCCAGATCAAGCAGGGGCCTGAACTTCCCATCTTACAAAAAATAGTTATTGGCTTGATAGTGTCTGGGAGATGTGCCTCTGAAGATAAAATAAAGGCTAACAAAATGGTACATCTCAGCTGCCAGGAGGAAGCGTTGGAGTCAATTGTCACAACCCTGCAGAAATTTTGGTCTGTGGAGGACCTGCCGCCCAATGCTAAAGTCCATACTCCTGAGCAGCAACTTTGTGAACAACACTTTGAGAAAAATACTCAAAGATTGTCGTCCGGTAGATTTTTGGT